TACGACCAATCTGCATAGGCTCGACTTCGGTTTCTGTGACGAGAGGAAAAACAGTGTGAAAAATGGGTGTTGGGCAATAGCTGGAAGTGTGGGGTACCTGGGACTTGTAGTTTATTTCTCTCCTCCTCTCATGAAAACGATTGTCGATCCTGGTGGCAATACTGATCAGTTCATCCAAACTTTGTGGTTCTTCTCGGATAGCCAGCTGATCCTTAATGTGATCAGATAAGGAATTTAAAAAGGTACCTCGAAGGGCAGTTTTGTCCCATCTGGTCCGAGCAGCAGTGATGTGGTACTCCAGGGCATGTTTAGCCACAGAGTTTCTCCCTTGCATGAGATTGAGGAGGCGCTTCACTGTTTCCGCCTGCTGAAGAGGATGATCAAACACAAGCTTGAACTCTTGTAAAAACATGGAGAAGGTTATAGAGTTGAGGGAGTGAGAATACATATATGCGTGAGCCCAACGTAGAGCCTCCCCTTTTAATTGGCTGATAATATATGAAATATTAGCTGCATCAGAAGAATATAATGTAGGCGCACGGTTAACAGCCAACTCACACTGGAGTAGAAAGCCACCACATAGATCGGAATTTCCACAAAAAAGCTCGGCAGGTCTTAAACTCTGTTCGAACGACACTGAGGGCGCAGAAGGAGCTGCAGGTCTTGGCATTGTAGGCTCTGGAGGGCAAACTAGAGCAGGAGGGGTTAACAGAGACAACTTTTGGTTCATAGAAAACAACGTTTCCTAATTCTTGTAAGTGAGACTGATTGGTGTCTTGTTGTGTGAGAATCTTCTCGAGGGCGGTTTCATGTTTATCAATACGCTTCATCTGTGACGTGAGCATGTGTTGAAGCTGTTCACCTTCGGTCAAGTTCTGGGTTGTGTTTGGCTGCTGCATTCTGTAAGGTTTCTAACACACAGATAAATACTGACCAAAAGCAAACAGACTTCAAGACCAGGGAAAGTTAAACAGTGTTTATTTACAAAAGTGAAAACGATGATATTGGTGAGGTAACTATCCGGGGAGAGGCTGGAACCCTGGAGAGCAAGGAGCAAAGTTAAAGCAGGCCAGGAGAAATCTCAAGGACAGTAAAATGTCCAGAGAAGTAGTTCTTAGTGTAGGAGAAGGAGGTCAGTCAGTGGATGTCCAAAAAGGTTTCCAGGAGATCCTGTGTAGGTGAGCAGGTGGTGGAAGGCAAGGAGCAGCTTGAGATGAGTCCAGGAAGGGTCGAGAGTAATTATTTCATTTCATTTCATTTATTTATTCATTTATTTAAATTAGGACAATGCATATTAATCAACATGTCAGCAGTAAGCATCAATGTAAATATGCCAGAGTTAGCACAGTAGCTAATTTTCATCCGTTGTCCTAAGGCAGGTAAGAACAAGAAACATCCCACAAAACAAAAGAGCAGAGAATAATACAAACATCACCTGTACAGAACATAACACAACATGAGATTACAATAAAGATATAATACCATAAGAAAATAGACAAAGTAATCTACACATGAGTGCACTTCTGGTTAGTTTTCAGCCAAAGTTTCAAAGAGTTTTTAAAGCTGGAGTAGGTGCCACAGCTCCTGATGGAAACTGGCAGTGTGTTCTACGACTGCGTGCCTCTGATGGACACCACCATTTGGGCAAATTTAGTCCTGCGCCGCTGTACATCACAATCTCCTCTTGTCAGTGCTCTTGTGTTTACTGTACTTGGTTTTTTTTACTTACAAAATACATTAAAGGAGGAGGAGCAAGTCCATTTAAAACTTTAAAAATCAGGCAAGCATCCATAAAAATCTGATAGCTATCAAAATCCAAAATGTTGTACTTATTTATGATGTTACAATAATGATCCCGTGGAAGCTTTTTGTCAAAAATTTTCAGTGTTTTCTTAAAAAGAGACTTCAGGGGCTTCATGATGACCTCTGAAGTGTGAGACCATGTAGTAGAACAATAGGCAATATGGCTGAAGATCATGGCATGCATGTAAGCCTTTGCTGATTCTGTTGTCAGAGAAGGTCTTATATGTTTGAAGTTTGCCAGATTAAGTTTAATTATATGTGAAATTCTCTTTACATGCTGCTTGAAATTTAGATTGGAATCAAAAATGACTCCAAGGTATTTTAAATTGTTCAACCACATCTAATGTCTCGCCATTGACTAACACAGATGGTTGCTCATTATCTGCTGGCAGCCGATAGAAAAACATACAGACTGTTTTTTTAATGTTGAGATGTAGACAAGAGTCCTGGAGCCAGTGAGACACCGGCATCATAGCACTAGCAAGCACAGCAGCAGCTTCAGTTTTTGTTTTTCCATGAACATACAGTACAGTATCATCTGCATATAATTGCATTTTTACAGTTTTGCAAACATTTGGTAAATCATTAACATATAGGCTAAATAAGATTGGTCCCAGTATTGAGCCTTGTGGGACTCCAGCTGAGCAGGTAAGAAAGGTAGATTGTGAGTTTTCTATTTGTACTGCTTGTTTTCTATCAGACAGATATGATTTCATCTAGCAGAGGGCACTATTAGAGAAATTAAAATGAGCTAGTTTAGCAAGAAGAATGTTGTGGTTGATGGTATCAAAAGCACGTTTCAGGTCAAGGAACACAGCACCCACAAAGCCGCCCTGATCTAGAAGCTGTTTTAGATTTTCCAGAAGGTAACAGGTGGCTGTCTCTGTAGAGTGATACTTCCTAAACCCAAATTGCATGGGATAGAGAGACGTTGGGCTTTTATTTAAATGTTCTGTTGATTGCACAGCAACCCATTTCTCTGTAATTTTAGAAATGATTGGCAAAATACTTATAGGACGATAATTCTCTGGTTTTGTTTTGTCTCCTGTCTTAAACACTGGGGTAACCCTGGCAATTTTCCATGTGGATGACACTACTCCGTATTTAATCGATTGATTAATTATATGTGCAATTGGACTTGCAAATGCTTCTTTATGAAGCTTAAAGAAATGACTTGTCAGGCCAAATATGTCTCTAGCCTTTGAGCCTTTTAGAGATGATATCGTTCTTATAACCTCAGTGACAGAGATTTCTTGTATACTAAATACTGGTTGATGAACATCTAGAGATTTATGTGGGATATCAGGATGTTTGAGATGGATTCTTAATTCTTCCATTGAACTAATAAAAAATGAATTAAAGATATTAACAATTTTGCTTAAGTCATCGGTCAGTGTGCCAATTGTGGGTCAATTACCTCTTTTCTCACCTGACCCAGAAAAGGCAGAAGAGCAAACATTAGCAGATTACATGATCAAAACACTAATAGAAAAAGCCGTGTCAAAAGCAAATTTACTGCCTTCCGATTCCCCTTTCCCACAGGAAACACCACCTATCCAGCCAGGTGATTGGGTCTTCATTAAGGTCATCAAGAGAAAAACTTGGGTCTGTCCACGTTGGGAAGGACCCTTCCAAGTCTTGTTGACCACCCCAACCGCTGTGAAGATTGCGGAGAGACCCAGCTGGACACATCTCAGCCATTGTAAGGTACAGAGAGTGCTGGACCCTTAAAGGTCATCAGAGTAGTGGGGAAGTCCAGCTTACAAAGGGTGCGTGTCCCTTTTGAGCACATGGTCTCAAAACCGGTGAAGTAACCAACAATGCCTACTCTTTAGGACCTACAGGTTTAGTGTCTCTGTATTCCTAGCAGTAATGGGGTCTCCACATGTTAGGTGGATCCTCTGCTGTGTAATGGCTGTAGTATGTGAATGGAGTTTTTATCATCCTACAGGTCCAAAAACAATTAGACAAAAACGTTGGTCTGATACAGACAGACAATCATGACGAGTGGACCTGGGATCCAAAGTATCCTCAAGATACTAATACATGGTATCGATATGTTAAGTTTAGTGATAGAAAAGTGACTACAGAAGGCTGCTATGTGTGTTCTCTGCTCCCACCCTCTTCTACTCAGGTACACCTGGAGACGAAACCTATGAATACCACCAAAGCGAAATGCATGGCGTCCCTGGGAGCCCGGAACTACCAATACCCTGGTATAGTGACCAAAGAGACTGACCCTGCTTGTCCAGGGATCAGGAATGGCACTTGTGATACTCTGTTCTGGGCCCAAACTAATGTAACAGTAAGAGGCACGTTGAAACTTCAGATACCTTACCTCAAATACTGACAGACTGAAATATATGTGTTATTCTCAAGGAAACCAGACTCACATGTGTATCACTGATTCATGTTCC